AATAAGAAAAAAAAAAAATAATAATTTTCCCCACTCAAAAAAATAAATTCTAAAGTTTTTATTGGCCAAAAATGTAAACATACAAGAAATTTTGTTTTCAGATTGTTTTTTGCCCCATATACACTTCATAAATTGCCAAAAGTAACATACTTTGAGTATTTAGAAGGAATATTACTTTGACAGGTGATTTTTATTTTCATTTTTTTTTCCTCCTGCCTTTAGGTTTTCTGACAAAAATCTGTAAAACAAGAAATAAAATTGGTCTGGCCTGATAGAAAATCAAAAAGGTTGATTTAGAGACCAAATTAACAGTGAGCAAGTCAGTGACCCACAATGACATGATGTGTCCTTTTCTACAATGTTTTTTTAAAGGAAATACTCAAGTTAAAATGTTAGGAAAATGTATTGAAAATTCATTACTAATCAGCATTTTTGATATAATTTATCCTTACTAATTCATTTAGTCACATATGGCTAATGATGAAATGAATGAAGTCCAATTCTCCTTCAAAGGAACAAATCTTATAACTTTCACCATGATTTGAAAATGTTTTCCTCATTACTTAAATCCCACGGGTCCTCATAATATGTTGTCCTTTGACACTGTACTCTCGTGGAAGAATACAATCATAATTAATTTCCTGAAGATGTTCCTAATTGGCACTGTGATTTCATATTGATTCAGAATTTTATTTCCATGCTCAATCTGGCTGCTACTGGGCCTTAGTGCTGACAGACTGCCTCATTGGTACAGTGGATAGAGCATCTGCCTGGAGATGGAAGGTCAGGGTTTGTCTCTGGTTGTGTCATACTGGAAGATGAACACATAGAGAATTTTCTGGGTTTCATCTTCTTTTTATTGTTCTTTAGTTCTACCTGATGATGGGTCCAGAACAAGCCCTGAAACGTTGTACCTGATTGTGGGACCAAACAATAAACGCTGTTCTAACTGATGATATGGGACCAGAACAAGCCCTGAAACGTTGTACCAAACGTGGTGATGATGGGACCAAACAATATGATGTTCTACCTGATGATGGGACCAGAACAAGCCCTGAAACGTTGTACCAAACAATATGATGTTCTACCTGATGATGGGACCAGAACAAGCCCTGAAACGTTGTACCAAACAATATGATGTTCTACCTGATGATGGGACCAGAACAAGCCCTGAAACGTTGTACCAAACAATAAATAGAAGATGAAACCCAGAAAATGCTCTATGTTCATCAAATAGCATCTTCTAAAATGCCAATCAAACATACTGGAAGATGTTAAAAGACAGTACTTGTTGTTTACCAGTGAGGTTGGTTTGGTAGGCTGGTTGGTTGGTTTGTTGTATAATGCCACACTCAGCAATATTCCAGCTATATGGTGTAGGTCTGTAAATAATCGAGTCTGGACCAGACAATCCAGTGATCAACATCATGAGCATCGGTCTACACAATTGGGATATGATGACATGTGTGAACCCAGTCAGCGAGCCTGACCACCCGATCCAGTTAGTCGCCTCTTACGACAAGCATGGGTTGCTGATGACTAATTCTAATCCGGTGTAACAGGCCAGAGTATACCCCTGTCCCAGACTATACCCGGGGTTAAACTAGGCTAGCCCAGACTATACCCCAGGTGATGTACTCATTCACAGTTTGGTTCAGGAAATGTTTTAGTTCATCATTAATGTAGTTTTCTTTCTGGTGATCCTGCAGCTGTGCATTGGAGATATTGTCGGAACAGTGGAACAGATGCCTTTGTGTAGATCGAGGATGGTTTCCAGCACTTCTGGGCATTGTATTGTGCAGTAATTTTGTATTATGCAGTAATGTAAATGAAATGCACCTACAAATTCCTTTAAATGACACCAAGACCATTGCCCGGAGTCACACACTCATATTGAGTGAATTGTCAACATTATTTTTTAGGGGTATAGTCTGGGCTGGAGGGGTATACTTTGGCCTGGTCCAGAATATACCCCCGGGGTATAAACTGGGCTAGCCTATAGTTTACCCCGGAGTATAATCTGGTGGGGGGTTATTCTGGGCTATTACACCGGGTCTTCATGGGTTTACCAGTCAGGACCTTTGCATTAAAGGCATAAAAAAGAAGAGGTTGCCATGGAGACTCACAGTGTTTGAGTGACACATACAAGTTGGTTAACCTGCAGCATGATTCAGCTAGAACTATAAAACCAGCATCATAGCCAAAAACATTAAAAGATGTTGAGTGTTGTTAACCTGTGTGGAGAAACCAAGGCTTGTTTGGCTTGGAGAGGGTTGATTGTGGTATGCACCCTATTGGGCAGGGACTGTAAAAGCGAAGTTAGTCCAGACAAGCACAAGGGCAGTATAGCATGGACCTTTCTAGTCAGTAGCACTTCAAACATTAGAATGGAACAAAATCACAATCAAAACATTTGCAGACACAAAGTTTAGAGTGATTGTTAGGTTTAGGTTTAGGGTATGGGTATGGGTATGGGTATGGGTAGGGTATGGGTATGAGTATAAGAAGGGTAAAGATAAGGATAAGGATAATGAAAAAGATAAAGGTTAAGAGAAGGGTGAGGTAAGGATAAGGATACAGGTAAGGGTTATGGTTAGGATTAGGGTAACAATAAGTGTAAGTGTACGGGTAAGTGTGAGTGTCAGCATAAGGGTATGGGTACAGGTAAGTGTAAGTATAAGGGCTAGGGCTAGGGCTGAGTGTGAACCCTCACATGCACACCACTGCACCCAATCCCCACACCACTCCACTGCCCAACACTAAAAACTGCTTCGTACATTATAAGTGCAATAGTCTTGAATGTCATGTTAAAACCACATATCATCTGACCCACCTCTGTGTCGATAATCCCGCTGGGTCTGCCACAGATTAGATTCAACTTGTTGTTAATTAGTTTTGTCTTGTTGCTGGTCCTCCCCATCACTCAGTGTCATGACAATGATATTTCCTCCTTGCTAGTGAGCCAAACATGTCCATCCCCCCTCGGCTACCACACACACAATCAAATAAGCATGAATCAAAGAGACTTGATTAACAGGTTCCTATAGCAAACATGAGAAGATGTCGCCATACTGAGTGAAGCACACAGACTAACAAGCAATTAATGTGTTGTGACATACAACATGCCACTAAATCTACTCAAAACCTGCTACATCAAACGATTAATACTATACCACTTATAATAATGAAAACAGACAATATCAATTTTCTTAGAATTGAAATTTCATTTTGAAATTTACACTGTTTGTAAAGTAATGAACACTGACCTATATCAGCAATGGCTGAAACAAGAGACATCAGACACCTCCAGCACGGGAATAAGTAGTCTTAAACTGCAGCAGTTTCTCGATTGTTTAACATCAAATATGTTTTGTTTGTTTTTTATCAAAGACAGTTGTTGGTTGGTGATTTGATGCCTGGATTTGTAAATCCAAAATAGTTGAAACAGTACACTTGTTGTTGCCCTGTCTGGTTCGTGTCATTATTGAAGCAGATAAAATTAAGACTTTGAGGAGTCAGTTTAATCTGTCTAATCTAAAATCCTCTCTCTCTCTCTCTCTTCCCTCCACACCTTTTTTCATATGGTTCATACATTGTTTTCTGTAACCAAGCCTTCTTGATTTTTTGTGATAATTCCTGGTCAGATGGTTGGAAATTTTGTTTGCACGTTTGTAATATATGTAGAAGACAATTTCAAATTTGACGCATCGGTAGCCAAATTACAATGCTATTCCCCATTGTGACTTTTATCGTATGTTCTCCTGTGTTCTCAAGTAAACAGTTGACTTGCCTTTGCATGTGTTTGTGACTGTTGTCATCAGAATTGACGAACACCTGGTGTCATCAGTAGTTGACAGTGATTCCTTAACACATACCTATGATATAGTCAGAATCATACATTGTTTTTGTTGAAATGTTTTAAAGCATTTCAGCTCTTTTTGAAATATATTGTCAGCAGCCTTTAATTTCTATCAAGGCGAAGCTCAAACATGTCACCACAATATTGGTGTCCAGTTGCATTACACGGAACAGTGTTTGTGTCTTTGTTCTTCCCTAGTCAACTCAAATGGTACAATGCATTCATATGAAGTGTTTAAGTGAAGCACATCAGGCAAATAAGGAATCGACATCCATTATTGATAAGGGCTACCATGTTTTATGTAGTCCCACATGTTTTATTTAAGTCTGAACACTGTGAAATAATTGTTTCATGAAACATGATTTCAAGAGGAACTGGTGTAACTGTCACTACAAGGCATGATAATTGCCATTGTGTGATTAGATGTACACCAATTTGTAAATCAAGAACCATTCAGTAAAGTACAGACAGTAATGACAAAAGATATGAAACATTCATCTGAAGTTTGATTTTGAATGCATTGCTAGAGTTTAGAAAAGTTAGGAAATGCCACTTTCACACATTTTTCCATCTGTAACACTTGTGCATATGATAGATTTGCAAAAATTCTAAGGAAAAGATTCTATATCTTATTCATAATTCCAAGATTGAGGTAAACATATCAACAGGTTGTTCCTATAAAAGACTGGTATCCCATCAGCTTATTTATACTTGAATATTCTATGGATAGAATTACAAAATATCCATCATTAGCTACAGACATGGAGCAAGGCTAGGCATAATGGGTTTCACTGGGTGGATGAGAATATAGTGAAGCTGGGTTGACATGGGTTTCACATGATTTCTGTCAATGGCTGATGGCAATGAGTGAGTGAGTTTAGTTTTACTCTGCTTTTAGCAATATTCCAGCAATATTATAGCAGACCAGAAATGAGCTTCACATAATATACCCTTGTGGAGAATGGAACCCAGGTCTTTGGCATGACACTGATGGCAATGAAGAAAAGTGAGTGAGTGAGTGAGTGAGAGAGAGTAGGCAAGAGAGAGTGGGTGAGTGGGCTTAGTGTGTGAGTGAGTGAGTGAGTGGACATTTTCAGAACCATGATTCCATTGAAGTTACAGAAAACAGACAACACAATGATTTAATATTTAATATTTACAGTGATTCATAGGATATGATATGCATTTTGAATTGAAATGTCCGCTTGACACAGCTACAATCAAACCACAAACGTATCGCTCCCAGTCATATTTTACAGTCAATATCCGCCTTATACCAGAGAACAGAAGGCCTGAAAGCCCTAAGTGATATTGGTCTCAGATGTTTACCACTCCAGTGAAACACATCAGCAGGGGTCTTGTGCTGTCAGACCTTGAACCCACGATCACAGGTTTCTGGTGTGCCCAAGGGATGTAACTCAGCGAATCGTTGTGCCTGGGACAGCCGTGGCGCCGATGCCCCTGAAGATGAACTAATGTGGATGAACACAGCAATAGTTTCATATTTTCACATACTATTTATATACATGGTGTATACATGGACATAAACAGAAAATACACAGATGAAGGTCAACCACTAAATTTTAGCAACTTATGCTTTAGCTGATAACTGGGACTGCTCTCAAGCTTCTCGGTTAAAGCTCTCTCATTTCCTCTCCTTTCAAGCCATGCAACTGATGGGGACACAGTTCATATACAGACTGTTTTAACACTTTCATGGGCAACAAATACAGTTTAGAATAAAGTTAAAGTACTCGTATGTATTAACACACAGAAAATATTCAGTAAGAAACACAGGCAACTAAACACAATGTGACATACTGTAGTTATGAGGGTCTAGACCAAGTTTAGACAACAAGAAGGAGATAAGTCAGTTCCTGGTATTGATTCCAACAGTTTTGATTGCAACACTAACATTACTAGTGGTCGTAGTTCGTAAAAATATGGATGGCAATAATTCACAATGGGACCAAGTTGTACAGGAGCAGTCATTTATCTATACTCCCCATCAAAAGTTTAGACTCACTAGTGTAAATGTAGCCACTTACTTCAGTCAACTGTTCTGAACTAGATTTTGTAAAATAATCCATACAGTTTAAAGGTACTGTTTATACATGAGCTGATGTATTGTAAAACAAATTCGTGACGTTGAAAAGCTTTATTGTCATGTGTTCAATAAATGATGAAACTCAGTGAAAAATGGCAATTATTTATCAAAACTTTACACCAAAACGCAGCTGTTCACATGCACATTTTTGCACATGCTTTTCAGCAATTTGATGCATGATCCTCGTGCAATTAATCTGCATATGGTTTGCAGATGTTTCCCCCAAGTTAGTGGAGAAATTCATCTTCGTTGTAACCATATGTCAGTATGGATTCTTATACCGTGGTCAAGCAAGAGTGACTCTTGCTTGACAAAGGTATAAGAATCCATACCAAAACGTCGCATCATATATAATAAAAGAAGTTGTTATCCATAAAGAATCTTACTTTCTTATTAATCAAACCAGTGGTTGAGAGCACAAGCACCAAACCATGCTGTAGTGGTAGTAGCACACACACAATCAGCTTGGTGACACATTGTAATAACAGATCTTTATAAGTCAAACATAGAATAATGGAGTCCCTGTCTACCTCTGATCAAATTCCTACACACTGTTGTCAGACAAAGCTTCAAATTGGTAAAAGTAGTGGGCCAAATATAGCTCTCATGGTGTCTTGGGTTTAAGCAAAATTACAGAAGTTCAAAATAATATATCTACTCATCAGTCAAGTATATTCATTCGAAAATGTCCCACATTTTCATTGCTCTCTCAGTCTACCGCCAAGCCATTTTCTACTCTGAGCTGTGAAATTTTGTTGGTTTATCACATGTGAAATATACATTTCAAATATTTGAGTAAAAATCCCAGGGTGAGAAATTCTAAGTGCCAGTTCGAATGTTCATCTGGAAAACATACATTCCCATGTGTGAACTCATCTTGTGCATCCACAGAGATCACTAAAAGAAGAAAAGATTGTGTTCAATCAAATATAATACTAACCCAGAACTTTTTATTGAAACTTCAAAAGAAATTGAAATTATGTTTTCATGAATCTATATCACAGCCAGGCCCAGACTAATTATATACATTACATCCTGGCTTATAGCTGGAATATTGGCCCCCGGGAAATAATACAACATTCACTTAATATCAACTCTTTTATCACAGCCATGATGAACAGGCTACAATAAAAAGGATCATGTATGGGTAAAATATCTGAAACTATATATCATAGGTTTTTATGCCAGTTATTCCATTCGTACAGAATCTACTCACAAAAGACCAATAAAACCGTCAAGACACAGACACCGTCTAACTGCTTGAGATGGAGCACTGTATCCGCCACTGAAACACAGATGACGGACTGTGGACGGCAACAATTAAAACATCGGGTTGTGACTGTTAGAATTGACCTGCCACAATCAATGCATGATTTATTGTTAATAGAAGAAAGGTAGAAGAAATAAATCCACTCAAACTTGGTTGATTACATGACAAGATGAAGCAGTTGGCTGCTCAACAGTGATATAAACGTAACTGACCAGTGAACAGTCAACATGGCTCTCTCACTGTGTATACATCTAACCTACAGTTGAGCATCGTCTTTTGCAGATATAACATTAGACTAACAACTAGTCTCTGAAATGAACATATTTTACTGAAAAAAAAGTTCATAGTAAAAAAAAATATATAATGAAAAGGAGCCCTGAGACTTTCTTCATTTTCAGCTGTGGAAATCTAGATTTGCCACATTTTCTAGACTTACGTGGGCTTTCTTGGATATATTTGCTTCAGGGTCTGTACGAAGAGACTAATATAACATCTGCTATTGTTATATCATAAGACAGTTCATCGTTTACACAATCAGTATAATGTTCATAACTATGTTCAGGAATATAGTTTCTAATGTAAGCATCCCACTCCTGGTCACAGTCATCTCGTGATACAGGATTTAATCAATCTTTAAAATATGTATGCCATGTTTCTGGTAAAATATTATTCTTATCAGATCGCCTAGATGAATATTTTTTTACAGCCTTTATATATTATACATTAAATAAATATCGACGAAATAAGGGATCACTTGCAAGAGTCTCAAAACTCGTTATGTGGGTGATACCATTTTCCGTTATCAAGGGTACATCCTACTAATCACGGATGCAACCAACCATAACAAGACTTTAGTGTTGCTTTAACGGGTCTGCGTTTTGGGAGGTCTGTGTTTTGGGAGGATACCGAGAAAGGCCTATTAGGGGTCGTACATAATTTATGGTTAGGGGCGTCATGATGATGTTTATAGAGAAGTATGTACAATGTGAATGACCCTCACTAAAAAGTATGTACAAAGTAAGTGGACACACCCCCCCCCCACCCCCTGCATGTCATGTACAAAATCAATCACCCCTTTCAATAATTTTAAGCATAGTTTTTAGATATTTTTATGTACAAAATTGATGCCCCATCACCCCACAACAAAATGGGTGACCCCCCTTAAAATCTTCATCATCACCCCCAGCCTACCCCACTATGAATGGTCCTTTATTCAGAATCAAGATTTTAATCAGTCAGTATTATTAATAAATAAATAAAACTTATTCCTAGTATTTAGGATTCACAAACAAAATAAAAGAAAAAAAATCATCCCAATTTTCCTTGGGCATTGTTACTGTCTGGCTGTTCCATGTATTTCGATCTTGATGACATGTAGACAACAAGTCCTTGGTGTTAAGAGAATCTGAAATCCTATTTAACAATATTTTGTAAAAATGTTTATTATACAAGTCACCACAAACTGAGAAAGTACATCACCAAATGCACTCAAAAAATTTGGATCAGCTTTCTAAAGCTGCCAAGGTGATATGTTGGTGAAATGACCCTCACTGTGTTAGATGATGGACTAAACTTACTACTTCTACATCTATATGAGTGCCCTGTGCCAAACTTGAAGAACCCCAACATATATTGCCTGTAGCAGACTGGATAGAAGTGCAATATTCATAGTCAATTTCCTGAAAATTTTGTCTTTTTCTTGCAAATTGTCAAGTCTACTCCAGTTGTTATCAGTGTTTGTGAAGAGGGCTATAACGTTATCATCTGAACACACTGTTGTCAACAACTGAACATGACATTATCGATATCCACTTCATCAGACATCTTTGTGACAACTGAGATGATATCTTTGGATGGGGAAACCCATTTCTTTGCATTTTCTCATACAAAAGGACCATGTGCTATACAAGATAGACTAATGGTTAGTCTCTGAATATAGATGATTTTGATTGTAACAAATAAACCCCATTAAATTGTAAAGGAGACTCAGGGAGACCAGAGAACCTGAGGAAATCTAGACTTGCTATATTTAGGGCATTTAGCACTGCAGAGAGGGCTTGGCTGTAGGGACAATAATGTGGTTCAGGGACTGTGAGACAGTATATACAAGAATACCAACTTGCAACTGTGGAATGGCTGTGGAATACATGGTACAAAACTTACAAAATCAATTCACTCAGGACAGAAAATCTGTAATTGCTCTCTTACTCTATCCCTGAGTATGAAATATATCCTAATCCATGGTTCGGTAGTATGTTTAACTACCTGGTCGTGACAGAGGACATTCACCATGTTACTTGATATCCCCCAAGTACACACGGAAATAAATTTGTTCCCTATTCTTCAGGACTGGGTCTTTTGATCTCATCATGACAATATTTCAATATTCTCTGACTCCGTGTCCCGTTGTCAACGGTGTTGTCGACATCACCACCCACTACACTGCATCATACAGGCTTCAACACAAGTTGCTATGACTACAAAAACAATTTATTTTTTCTGTTTAATTTCAAGAGAGGTTCCATCTGCCAGAAGGGTATTATATGTCCACATCCAGTGCGTCATGATGTACTAGAGTGGGGCTGTTATCATTATTCATTGGAGGAAGTGGATCAACAGAAAGCTTGTTATTCAGTCTATGGAGTAGATTTAGATTCTGAATGTATAGAATTTTGACAGAAACAAATAACTCCACTTACAATAAAAATTAGCACCAGCGAGCATAAAGATTCAGAACCTGAGGCAATCTGGATTTGCTTCGTAAATTAAGGCTTGTAGAAGGGGTTGGGCGGAAGGGAAATAATGTGGTTCAGGGACTGTGAGACAGACTATCTATAGGCCAACAATCTTTACAAGTCTATAGATGTTGTCACTAACTCTTGTATACAGTGTCTGTGCACTCAATAACACTCTCCCATGGTAGATGACCAGATGGTGGAAACACAAGACATTCATACACCTGAATCACATGTTAGACATACAGAGTAATCCATGGCAAGTGACTTTCTTCTAAGGTCCTGCAGTTCACACAGCAGGGAATGGGTACCAGATACATGAGGTGGATGTGAAAACACTCTAGCACTTGCATGGAGCTTGGGTTGTTTACTCCCCAGGGAGTTGAGAATGGTAGCTGGGATCAGTATAACACCTTTCAGCAGTACACTAGTACCTGGATAAGTACAGTGTCGAAATGTCCTAATAAAATATATACTATACGATAAATGCTTATTTTCATGAAGGAGGCTTAATGTATTCAGCTGTATTGAGGGTGGGCAAACACTGCAGCTCAATAACACATGCAAGCTCATACCACTGTCAATCTGTAAAGTATTATGTGTGTGTGTGAGCGTAACAACTCTGAGCACATACACTCATAGTACATCACATATCCCTCAAGATCGGTTGAACTTCATTAAACAACAATGTGAGACACCACTGGTGCAGTTAGTGCCCTAGAGCACCTAGCTTAGCAGCACATTAAAACACACATATTACCTCTCCATGGTATTACACCCATTATTTCCCTACACTTTCCTACCATCACACACTCATAAAATCATCGCTTCTGTGAAACAATTGTCTCTGTCTGCCATATCAAATCAGGACTGAATATCCCCATTGCAGTATAATATACCAAGTTGTAACACATCGACACTGACATGCAAGTTCCCAATAAGGAAAGTAGGGTTTCTGATCTTGAACATGATGACTGTCTGGTGGTTTAATACAATTTCTCTACTGAAAGCATTTCCAAATCCATAACTATACAAAAAACCTTACCAACTCCAATAACCAATAACAATATGATGGATGCAGGTTTATGTACCCAAAATACCTACACAACAAACCCTAGGAAACTGCCATGAACATGTCATGACAGTCCGGGGCGACCACCAGACAATCACAGCAGGTGCTGTCCATTGATTATCTCAACAGTGCTGGCGCCAAGGGCTTGTGCTGCCAACATGGTGCCAGATATATCTGAAGACTAAGACTGAGAAGTTTTTACATGAAGTACTCCAGGAAAGATTCTCAGTGCTTCATTCATAAACAGCATTAGGTGAAATTCTCACGGGTGCAACATTTGGGGTAGGTTCTCATGGGAGCAAGACTACTGACATGTTATCAATGGTGCAACACTTGAGGCAGGTTCTCATGGGAGCAAGACGACTGGTATGTTATCAATGGTGCAACATGTGGGGCAGGTTCCCATGAGAGAAAGACCACTGGCATGTTATCAATGGTGCAACATTTGGGGCAGGTACTCATGGGAGCAAGACTACTGGCATGTTATCAATGGTGCAACATTTGGGGCAGGTTCCCATGAGAGCAAGAATAGTGACATGTTCTCAATGGTGCAACATTAGGGGCAGGTTCTCATGGGAGCAAGAATACTGACATGTTATCAATGGTGCAACATTTGGGGTAGGTTCTCATGGGAGCAAGAATACTGACATGTTATCAATGGTGCAACATTTGGGGCAGGTTCCCATGAGTACTGACATGTTATCAATGGTGCAACATTTCGGGCAGGTTCTCATGAGCTAGACTACTGACATGTTATCAATGGTGCAACATTTGGTGCAAGACTACATTTGAGCAAGACTACTGACATGTTCTCAATGCAGGTTCTCATGAGAGCAAGACTACTGACATGTTATCAATGGTGCAACATTTGGGGCAGGTTCTCATGGGAGAAAGACTACTGACATGTTATCAATGGTGCAACATTTGGGGCAGGTTCTCATGGGAGCAAGACTACTGACATGTTATCAATGGTGCAACATTAGGGGCAGGTTCTCATGAGAGCAAGACTACTGACATGTTATCAATGGTGCAACATTTGGGACAGGTTCTCATGGGAGCAAGACTACTGACATGTTATCAATGGTGCAACATTTGGGGCAGGTTCTCATGGGAGCAAGACTACTGACATGTTATCAATGGTGCAACATTTGGGGCAGGTTCTCATGGGAGCAAGACTACTGACATGTTATCAATGGTGCAACATTTGG